CTTTCAGAAGGCCATTCAACAGCACTCTGCTGGCGTCCCCAAGACTTGCCTGCCTATATTCACTGAGTCTTGTTTAGACCTTGCTTATTAAGCTTCCACAGAGTGCCTGATTTTATGCCTAGCACAGGCAAACACATATTTTATTTTATTTTAAATCAAGTTAATGACGCCCAGCTTCAAAACTCACACACACACACACACAACAAATGTTCTGTTTCTAGATCAGTGAACCATGAGGTTCTTCACAGGAGGCCTGAGGGAAGGCACGTTTGTGGGGCTTGGTCAGGGTCAGGGTCCTCCCAGAAACAAACTCCCCTACGCATAGCTAGAGTGTGGAGATGGGGGCTATAAGAAGTGGGAACGGGGCTAGAATCATACTGTGAGAAGAATAGCTGTGCATGGACCTGTGCAAGAACCCAGGCAGGATGAGGAGGAGCAGGAAGTCGAGCACAGAGATGGGTGGACAAGGCAGAAAAGAGCTGCTGGCAGCTTTTGTTCTCCAGTTATGTACTCTTTGCAACTTGACTCAAGAAAACCATTTCCTTCATTTTGGGTTTGGAGCCTTCTCTGTACTTCCATTAAACGTAGACTGTATTATACCATGACTGCAGACATCCCTCAGCACCCACAGGGGAATGATTCTGGGACCCGTAAGATACCATAAATTCCCAGACACTCAAGTCTCATTTAAACTGGTGGATATTTGCATCGGACCTATGCACATCTTCCTGAGCACATTAAAACATGTCCAGACTTCTTATAACCCAATACAGTGCAGATGTTAAGTAAATAGGTATTACACTGTATTGCTTAGGGCACAATGACCAAAAAAGTCTGTACATGTTTAGTATTGACGCACTCTTTAAAGATATCTTGGATCCATGGATGAATGTGGAACCCACGCATACAGAGACAACTGTGTTCGTCTCCACCACACAGCTATCAACTCCGTGGGTGCAGCCTCGTCACCTTTGGCTTCCAGCAACTGCAATGTAAGAGCTGCTCCAGATATAACTGATTCTCTGAGGGACAGACTATCACCAGGGGAGTCACTGGACCTTCCAAGTACAAAAGGAGAAGCAAACCTAGAAGCTATGACTCCTAGAGAACTGGGCGGAGGCACATCACCAAGTGCAGCAGCCCCAGTCAAGTTCAGGACTTTGCCTTCCACCTTGTTGCTGTGTGTTCTGAAACAACAGAGGACAGAGTAGAGTCATGCTGCAGGTGAGAACTTGCCAGAGAAGGGTGTGTGCAGAAATGACGTAGAGCCCTGGCAGCACTGCACCAAGGGGCCAGGGCTGGGGAGGAGGCAGCGTCTGCCCAGGGGCTGCATGCAGGGGCATAGAGTAGGGCCACCAGAAGCCAGGGCATCTGACCTTTTCCCTGGGGCCTCTGCAGGACATGCCACCCTGTCTTCTGATAAACATGAAATGCAGTGCCTGGGCTTGGGCACAAGAAAGCAAAGGCCTGAAATGCGATCTGAAATAAATCACACCCTGTGGTTCCACTGCAGTGAACATGCACAGCACGGCTCGGAGAGCAGCTCCCTGCTGGCCCATGGCCCATTTACCATGCTACAGGCAGACAGCCCACGGCACATCCTAGCCTTCCCACAGGGAACCCACTCATCCAAAGTGGCATCCTCCACATGCCTGCACTATCTCATCCAGCCCAGCTGGAACAGCCTCCCGTGTGGAGGGATCCTGGACAAATTCCATCTCCGGACTCTGGGGTGATGCTCCCTGGTGGGAGGGGTGACTGCTCCCTACCGTTCCATCTCAGTGCCAATCCTCTTCCTCACAAAGAGCCTTTCTCAGTTTCTGGCCAGAAGAGAATGCTGGCCCTTGGCCCCTGACTTATATCCCTTCCATACAGTCATTCCTTCATTACCAGGAGTTCTGTATCCACCAGCAAGTGAAATGGTTGGGGAAAAAATCTGCATCTGTACTGAACAGATATTTTTCCTGTCATTATTCCCTAAACAATACAGCAAATATTTCAAGAGCATTTAAATTGTACCAGGTACTATTATAAATAATCTAGAGATGATTAAAGTGTACAAGAGGATGTGTGTGGGTCCTATGCAAATACCGTGTCATTTAGTGTAAGGAACTTGATCATCCATTGATTTTTGGAGTGCAGGACAGCTGCCAGCTGTGGACGAGGGACAGACACACTCACACCAGATGTACAGCCACAAGATCCAGCACTGGTTTACGAGAGCTCACACACTGGCTTCCTGAAAAGGAAGCACTTGTGAACACTACTAAAGATGCAGGAGTGTAATGTTGGGGCCATTGGACTTGGAGGGGCCTCTGAGTCACTGCTACAGACTCTGTCCCAGGCCAGACAGAAGGCAGGACAAAAGGCCAGTTCTCATCTACACCAGGCCACGGGCCTAGACACCACGCTAAACACAATACACCACTGTGCTCAGGCCAGCCACCCCGAAGCACCCATTCAGGTAGCACAGGACACACTACCACAGGACAAAGTCGCAAAGCCACCAAGAAGAAAGGCCTGCTACTTGTTCAGTATAAAACGACCATGAGATTTCTGGTGACAAGAGCTCCCTGGTGGCAGTGATGGAGAAAGACGACGAAGTAGCACGAGAGGAAAGCTCAGACTGTCACCAAACCATATACACCATGCTGTGAGCTTGGTGAGTGTTTTCTCCGAATCCTCAAGAGCAGCAGGAGAGTCTCACTCACTCTAGACCTAGAGAACTGAACCTTGAACCTTGGGAGGGTTATCTCTTAGCCTGTGTGTGTGTGTGTGTGTGTGTGTGTGTGTGTTACTGGGGACTGAACCCAGGACCTTTGCACTGAGCTGCATCCCCAGCCCTTTTTAATTTTTTATTTTGAGACAAAGTCTCACTGAATCACTAAATTTCCCAGGCTAAATGTGAACTTGTGTTCCTCCTGCCTCAGTCTCTCAGAATACTGGGATTAGAGGCATGCACCTACACACCTACAGAACAAGGGTTCTTAAGCAAAGTCTCCACAGCCCTATGTTGGGCTCCTGCCTCCTGCTAGTATCCCAGGTGAGGCTACAGCTGCGCTGCAGTTACCACCAATATGTCCATCCCTGCACAAGCTAGAAAGGTATGGCAGAAGCTGGAAAGATGGGATGGGGTATGGTTGATACCAGGAGAAAGCCAAGCACACAAGAGTTTAGTGCCCATGTGGCATCATCAGGCAGCTGCAATGTAAGGTGAAATAATCCAGTCTGAGGAGACTGACTAGAGAGACTTGGAGAAAATGCCCATGCCCATGGGCCAGGGGCACCCTGGACCTCGTGAGCTCTGAATGCAGCTGATGTGATGCACAGCAGTTCTGTGAATCTCCTGCAGGCACTGGGAATGTGGAGCCTCTTGCCCTCTGCGCAGGGTTAAACACGTCCCTGGGAAAGGACGGCAAGGGCAGAGCTTGCACACAACTGCTCTTTTCAGACACAGCAAATCAGAAAAAATCTGCTTCATACCCATAGCTGCTCCGCAAGGAGCCTGAGAGGCACTGTGCCCAGGGAGAAGTCAGCAGGCCTTGTTCTCTGCATTAGGTCACTTAAGCTCCTGATGTGTCAAGATGCTGTGTCTGCAGTCTCGTGACATTTATGCTGGAAATTATTGCTGAGAAGATGGAAAAGCCCAAGCCTCAGGGAAAATTAGCTGCTAGGTGGCTACACTAAGGGACAACCTCCTTCTTCTACCCAGCATCACTGCCAGAGAGTGGAGCTGAGTCCCCTAAAAATCACATCCTATTCATCACATGCCAATCTGGGCCACTCCTTTGTAATTTTCTTTTCTTTTTTAAGATTGTGTTTAAGAGAATTTCTTAAATCAGAAGGATGGGGAAAATTTATTAAGTACAAATGGCTATCCAGAGGAAAAAGCTAACAGAATCAGCCAAGTGTTAACCAATGTGTCTGAGCACAAGGCTGCACCACTGTTTCTAGTGAAGTTCCAAAGCAGGGATGGGCCAGTGGTTCTTGGTGCCCCAGGAAGCATCTCTGTAGGGAACACTACTTGGGGACAAAGGTGGGCAAGTGTTTTCCCTTTGCCCACAGGAGACAGCTCATGTCTCTGGATGCTGACGCCAGCTGAGCTAGCCCACACTTCCAGGACCTTCTAAAACTTAGGCTCACATCAGCTCCCTACGGATGAAAGACAGAACACGGAACTCATCCTAACTCTTGAGTTCAAAAGGCCAAAGACTACCACCTGCCTCTGATCTAAAAGTTTCACTTCCATAAGCTATGCCTAGGATTTCTTTCTACTTTTTAATTTTCTGCCCAAGTGAAAACAGAAGTCATGGCTGAGACTGGGGCGAGGCTGGAGTGAATAAACTGCAGTGGTGTCTACATTTTGGTTGGAGCAACAGCAATGTGGCTATTATTCCCATATTTGCCATGAAAAGCAGGATTCAGGCAGCACACACCTAATCTGAACTCTAAAATTCTCCAAAATCTGAAACTTTGAATAACAGTATGTATAGCACAAGTGGGAAATTCCCCACCTGGTTTATATGATGGATTAAAATGGTGGACTAAAACCATGGCATGAAACTACCTTGAGGCTATGTGTATAAGGTGCATATGTAAGTGAATTTTGAGTCTAGACTTGGATCCTATACCCAAGACATATAGTTAATCTATATGCAAATATTTTAAAATTGGAAAAAAATCCCAAATCCAAAGCCCTTCTGTTTCCAAGCCTTGTGGATGAGGAATATATATCTGTGTGTGGCTGACGACCATTTTCTTTAAACACGATGTCCCATAGAGCCCAAGAATATCACTTTAGGATTGAACTGGGCAAAACAGGCTGGGTCACAGTGCCATCTTCATCTCAAAGCATCCTTAGGACAGGCCAACATATGTGTATCAGAGTTATGAGTGACCCCTGCATGGGGGCGCATGGCTTGTACTCACAGGGAAGCTGCATTATCCCTAGCTGTCCCAGCTGCCTGGTGAGAGATGAGGGGAAAAGACACTATACTTACAGGAACTTGCCATCCATCTTTGATCCTATGAGGACGATCTGCTCAGACTCGCCCCGAGAGATATTTCCATGGAACCAGGGCATTTTCTCATGGGCTGTGGTGGCTATTAGCTTCTCCAGCTGCGGCTTCTGACTGATGATGGCCTGTTCCAAAGCCTGGCCCTGCCAAGAGTAGGGACAGACTATGCATCAGGCCAGGAAGAAGTGGAGAGAGTCAAAGAAATTAATCATATCCAGACTATCCTGAGGTCTAATGTGTGAAGTGGAATCCAATTTCATTCGTGCACTCATTCATCAGCAACTCATGGATTCATTCAGCACATAAAACCAATGAGATGATACATATTACATAAGTGCCTTCAATGTCTAAATAAGGAAGCAGTCTGAAATGGAATAACAAGATTCACCTTTTCCAAGACAGATACAACTTTGAATACCATCTGGCTCTGAGGTCCAGAGAACAGGATTCTAGGCTGACTGTTCCATGTTAAAATCTGGCCATTTCCTAACTATCAAGAAGCTTAAGATGTGTAGAGGAAGGCACATCGGCACATCCTTATCTGTCTGCCTCTGAGGGCTTCACTGAGCACACACAACTGCCTGTGGACCAGCAGGAAGCAGCACCACAGAAAGCGTGGGTGAGAAAGTGTGGGTGACCATGCGGATGCCACAAAGCAGCCCAAACTGGGAAGTGGAGCTCAGCACTATGCAAACTGATTTCCTCACTTTCTTAGTGGGAAAGAAAAGAGATCTTTGTGATAATAATTAATGGAGGGCAAAAGTTTGATGATTTGCATTTATAAGGAACTCCCATAGGAGTAACAGTAGAAATATAACCACGTCAAACAGTTGGAAGCAGGAGGGGAGACAGCTGGGAATAAAAGCACAGTGCTTTGGTCACATTTCACAGATGAACTGCACAACATAGGCAGTGATGGCCCCAGATGCGAAGCATTCAGAGCGAGGTGAGTGCAGAGGAATGTAGAGGCCTGCAGAATCCACTCAGACGTCAGCAAGAACCACGGTGGACACAGGTGACAACACAGGCCAACAGCAGGTATGGATGCCAAATGGAAGAAACTGGTCTAGAAAGCATGGCGCTGTCCACTGCTGTGACACTCTGGAAAGGCGGAAGGTAGAGGCAGAAACTGGATGTGTGGTTGCCAGGGGCTGGGGTGAGCAGGATGTGGGTAGAAGGATGGAGTTACTGTTCATCTGGACTGAGGTGGGAGTTACATGATGCTCTGTGTTCGTCAAAAGTCACAGAACTACATGCCCCAAAAGGATTAAATCTACAGTGTGTAAATGACACTCAGTAAGTCTGATTTGAAGAGCAAAAGGATGGCCTAAGACATATTCAATAAGTACTAGTTAAAAATATCACGCTCATAGTATTGTAGTACCTGTCTGCAAGATGGAATTTACTGCAAAACATGGTAAAGGTGTAAAAAGAGTCATTGAGTACAATACGCAAAGTGACACAGTTGTAAGTCAGTATGTGTCAAGCAACACAGCAGAACACAGCCACATACATCCAGGAGAAGCGAGGAGAGCTGCTTAACACCTAAGTTCAATCAGGAGATTGTCATTCAGGTCTGTTGCCTCCGGACACCACCTGCTTTTAAGACTGCAGGAGGGCGGGGTGTGGGCAGTTCAGTGGTACAGTGAGTGTTTAGCGTACACGATCACCAGCATCGGGGAACAAAAAGCATGCAGGAGGAATGTAAACTCCCACAACCTCTGCCACCTTTCTGGACTGAAACTGTTACTACATCCAGATGAAACACACACGTCCCTTGCTGTGGCACACTAGCCCTCCAGGTTTTATCCTACAGACACCACCCACAAGGTTAATAGAAAGGAGTGCGGATGAAAGCCACTAGCAGCACAGTCTGAACAACAAAAGCATCCTTGAGTAGTCCTGGTTACATAAATTATGACGCACAGCAGGCAACACCAAGCCACCAAAGTAGGGGTGCCAAACCTATGTATGTATGCCGAGAGGTTAGAAAGGTTGGTGTGGCTCTGTTTGGTACGTAAAAGTCAGAAAACACCCATCAATGACCCTGAAAGGTCCCTTGGTGAACCGCGTGGCAGGTTTGCCTGTGATGCAGAAACCCACACCACCGGTGTAAAGGGCCCTTCTCTGTGGTTGCTGTGAAAGAGGCAAGGCTGCTGGGGTGTGGTAACACACACCTATAGTGACAGTACTCTAGGAGGCTGAGAAAGAAAGGCTGCAAGTGTGAGCTGAGCCTAGCTTGGCAATTTAGCAAGCCCCTGTCTCAAAAAAATAATAAAGAGGGTTGGGGATGTAAGTCAAGGCAAAGGTCCAATACTGTGGAAGGAAGGGTGGGAGGAAAGGAGAGAATGCAGGCAGGCTGTCTGTCCTCTGGAGAGAGGCATTCTGGAGCCCAAGTCAGTGCCTCCCAAGGTGGATGCTCATTTGGGTGCCCAGGTGGACATCTGGGGGACCCTGGCAGGCAAGCCCACCTGCAGGTTCCACGTTTGCTTCACGTACTCCCTGATGAGGTTTTCCTTCAGGTCCTCAAAAGGCCCAGTCTTGGGCTGCACGCCAGGCGGCCGGTTGCAGGGCTTGGTGAGCAGGCAGACTAGGCCATCGGACTCCAACGAGTGGTAGTGGCAGAGGTCAGCTGGGCTGCTGTGGGTGCGGCCACCCGCGATGGCGTAGGTGCCGTTCAGCTCACGCTCGATGGTGTAGTGGTGCGCCTTGCGCCCATGCGCCACAGACAGCGCAAAGCCGCCCAGGTAATTGCGGCTTTGGCGCAGCAGGTAAAGCCCGTCAGTCATGCCCCCCTGCACTAGGTAATCCTCTGCCTCCTCACGGGTGATGTTGCCATAAAAGAAGGGCAGGTGGTTGGCACTGTCCGCTGCGGTACCGGCCATGCCTGTGCCGGGCCTTCAAGGTGCACCTAGGGGCAAAGAAGGGAGAATGCAGTGAAGATCCCAGCAACAAGGCCATCAGACCTCCCTCAAGCTGGGGACGAGTCCTTCCAGCTCAGGACAGAAGTATTTCCCTCTTTAACTTTTCAATTTGTACTCATATGATTATTTCCCAGTAGACCAAATCCTCTATCAATCCAAACACACAGGATTTGATAAAAGCGAACGGATTTATTAGTTCATTTATTTTGTTTTGTTTTTCTGGTGGGGACAAAGAAGCCTAAGAAACACACTGAAAAGAGAAATGTACAGAATACTATAGCAAAACTTGTCTTGAGGGCTCCCCTTTGAGTGGACAGGGATGTGCAGGAGGTAAAAGCAGAAGCCCTAGGTGCTCAGAGAAGCTGCCATGCCAGAGAGGGGGCAGTTTCAAGGAAAGCTCACCCCTGGCAGTCTGTTGCCAGAAGCTCATCCAATGAGTTCATGGACAGTCACAGGGGCCTCCTTTGTGATCTTGCGAAACTGACCCTGCACTCACCAGGCCCTTCTACCTTCAGCCTGGGGTGCAAGAATCAGCAAGCTCCTTCTGCAGGTGCAGAAGGTGACATCCTCCCAGAGACCCATGGGGCATGGAGGCGCAAGGCCAACCCCTGTCTGCCAGTGTTAAAAACAGCTGAGGAGAATGTCCTGAATGCCCGCGGGGCCACCACCCTCCCCACCACATGACCCCTACAGAGGCAGCACAGGTCTCCAGCTGTGAAGACATCAACAGAAGACACTGCCCACAAGGCTCAGGTGACCCCCCAGAAGAGAGATGAAGGAGGCTGGCTGTAGGCATATCTTTAGCAAGGCGAGTGTTTTATAAGGAGGAAGATGTATTTTACTGATCCAAAAGGCATCCAAGAGTGTATCCAAAATGGGCCTAGTGTTCCTGGAAAATAATCCAGTGATGCTACCCATTCATCTGGGAGAAAGCACCTGTCCCCACCCCTCAACTGTCCCTACCACATGCACGTCACACATACATCACACACATAATCTACCCACATGCCTCCTCACATACATACAACCACACACATAGAACACATACATCATGTACCCACATAGCTCCCACATATACACACACACCACACATATGCACACAAACACATCACACACAAATATCCGCCCTACCCAACGCATGCACTTACCATGTATCACACATCATATACATGCACTGTACACAAAGATATATGCATGATTTGATGAAATATCCTCTGATACTTATATAAATTCTCCTGTATGTGGTTTCACAACATATGGACACTGGTCTGGAGAGGATAATACAATTTCTGTTAATTACACCCTCACTGTGGCCCTGCGCAGGAACAAATGTCGTCACAATTCGGTCATGTTTGCTCTCTGTGTGCAGCCACATCACCCCCTTTTCTACCCTCATGTGCTAGACCTGTGCTGTTCCCAGCTGTTCCCCCGGCTACTTTCCTCCTGCTCAGGCCTGTGATCTCAGCTCACCATCATGCCTTTATGGAGTGCATCCTGATGGCCCAATTTCAGGTTGCCGTCTCTGTCCATCTGGGCTGCCTCCTACCCATATTTAACGTCACAGAAGTATCCCTTCCCTTCACAGCACCACTACAATTTGCCCTTACCCTAAACAAAAGCTTCAAAGGTTTAGAAATTTTGAACAACTTTTTCATGAGGTTTACCAGATGTCCACAAAATACCTGCTCAACGGAAGCTTTTTTTTTTTTTTTTTTTTTTGGTGGGGGGCTTCCACATTGATGTTGGTTTCCTAATCAAAATGCTAACTGTCCAGTTTCTATGTATTCATACAGCCCTGGAGACCAGCTGATGTGACCCTCTAGATGCCCTATCTATAGCTGTATCAATGGAGCTTGGTACTTGCTCAAGTTCACAGCTTCTTAGGAGAAGGGACCAATTCTAGCAAGTGCCTGATGCCTCTGCTACAAAATGCTCTCATATCTGATTCCCTGCCTCCTTTTCTCCAGCCCCGGTACTCTGTGTACCAGAATACACAGCCTATACCCAGTTCTGCTTCCCCAAAGCAACCTTTCCAATGCCCAGTCACAGCAGCCATTCCAAGACAATACACTCTTCCTGTTTGACATCATTTCAAAAGCCACCATATCCTGGTCACTTTACCTGCATAATTTTATGTTGCCCCAACTCCTATCAAAAGTTCTACACGCTGGGGATTTAGCTCAGTGGTTCCACCACCTGCCTCACAAGCACAAGGTCCTGAGTTTGAGACCCTGTACCAAAAAAAAAAAGTTCTGCCAGCTTTGATGATGGGGCTTCCAGTGCCTTGGTTTGTGCCCAGTGGTCCACCAACACAGCTGTAGATGGCTCCAGGTGTCTAGCATCTTTACTTGGCTTTTAGAGGATGAAGTTTCCTTTTCACATGTGGTCACAACACAGTCTTCACTGTCTATTTATGTATCAGGACAGCTGCATTGACCTGACTTCCCCAACCTCTGCTATTTCAATCCATTTCCATCTAGTATCTATCACTGTGCTAAGTCAGGGTTATTCAACTATGACATTCTTCACACTGGGGCTGGATTGTTCTTTGTTGGGTGTATGTGTGCATGTACGTGCATGTGTGTGTGTGTGTGTGTGTATGTGTGTGTGTGGTGAGGGGCCGTCTTATGCTCTAAAGGCTACTTAGCAGCATCCCTGGCCTTGACTCAATGCCAGTAGTAATTAATTCCTTAATTATGATGAATAAAAACTATACCTAGGCTGGGGATTTAGCTCAGTGGCACCACACCTGCCTCTTAAGTGCAAGGCTGTGAGTTTAATCCTCAGTACATGAAACACACAACTATAACCAGATATTGCTACGTATTCTCTGCAGTCAGGCCTCCACTGACTTGCACTCACAGACAGCACTCCCTTGATAGCCATGGGAACCACTGTGGAAGAGGCTCAGCAAGCACCATCAAGCCTTCTGATAAAACTGCAGTCCTAGATCATATCTGACTATAACCCGAAGGAGACCAGAAGCCATCCTAGCTGTTTCAAATGCCTGGACACAGGAATCATGAAAAGTAATACAGGCTGAGTGTTCCTTATCCAAAATGCTTGGGAATGGAAATGTTTCAGTTTTTTTGTTTTGTTTTGTTTTGTTTTTTCAGATCTTGGAACATTTGTACATTCCTAATGAGATATCAAGTCTAAACGTGAGGGAGGGGAGAGCGAGGGAAAGAGAGGCAACGCCAGAGACTTTAGGATCCGTTTAGTGCACCTTCGTGCCCTGCTCACTGAGGGGCCAAACCACCTAAGAGGTAAGAGTCACAGATAAGTGTCATCCCAGAAGCATCAAAATCAATCCAGTCTCAGGCCACAGGGCCACACACGTGGCTGTGGTACCAGAAGACAAAGTGGGCCAGGTGTGGAAGAAACTGATGAGACCTGTGATCCTGGCTAAGTCACTGTCCTCCAGACTCAGATTCTCATGTAAAACAAGGAGACAGGACTGAGTTAACCTCTTTGCTTCCTTCTCACTCTGTTGTGTGACTCAGGATGCTGGTACGTAAGTATTCTCTTGTTGACACATAAATTGCCCACATCCCAACAAAAAATTCATTTGTATTTCATAGACACATTACACACGTAGCCTGAAGGTAGTGGTCATACAATATTTGTAATAATTTTGTATATGAAACAAAGTTTGACAGTGTGGAATTTTCTACTCATGGCATCATGTCAATACACAAAACGTATCAGATTTCTGGATTCTGAATATTTGAATTAGGGGTTTTCAACCCATAAGTGATGATTGCTGTTTTAAGCCACTATGTTCAGGGTAATTTGTTATGCAGTAAGATACAGCTAATCCAGAATCTCAACAGAGCCAGGAGATAGAAGCAACCAGTGGCTAATGAATATGTGAATGGCTTACAACAAAGCCCCCAGACATGGGAAAGGAGTGGTGAGGGTCAAAGTTGTGTTCTGGCAGAGTCAAGGTGAAACTTTCTGGGATATCACGGCAGCCAGAGAAGACAAAATGGAGGTCAGAAGGAAGGAGAGAGCCGTGCCTGCTCCTGTGTGTTCCCAGACCTTCTGCCCTCTGCCAGTCTTCCTTCATCTCCATGTCTATCTGTGGATGAAGGGCAGACGATAGGACTGGCTGTCAAATCCAGCAAGGACCACAACACCCAAGCCTAGCACTTTCAGATTAGGGAGCCAGGAGCAAAGATGAACCCAAAGTCCAGTTTGGCCTACTGTCATGAACACGGTAACTCAGAATCCTTCATTTTGTGATTTCTTTCTTTTCTCCTCTCTCCATTTCATCAATATCAGTACTCTTGAATCTATTATTTTTTCATCTCACGCATGAAAAAAAAATACAGTTGCTACTAATCTTATTCAAGTAGTCGTGTTCCATACAGTCATCAGGAACTGTGAATTTGCAAATTCTGAACCATTGCTCCAGAAGAAAACATGAGACTATATTCTTGGGGTCCTCTGGTTATGTTTTCATAAACCAGTCAATAAAAACCTTGTTTTCTATGAAGTTACTTCATTTCATATATATTTTATTGATGCATGAACATCAAACTTAGGAGCATAACAACATAACTCATGTGGGTAGGAAACATATCTAACACACATAATCACTTTGCAAGGCGCTTCACAGTCTTTACACTTGGAGATACGAGGCAGCACTGCAGCACCATGCTTAGGATCACTTTAAATTGTGAAATCACCAAAAAAAGAGCACAAAAAATGCTCAAATAAGTTTCACTAAACAGAATAAGGAAATGGCACCTGTTTATGCTATGAGAGCTGAAACTCAAGGGCAGCACGTCACCCTGTCCAACCTCCGTGCATATGTTAGGTAACACAAATTTTTCACCATTTTACACATAGCCAAAAATGACAGCAAAAGTACTGTGGTACTGATTTTAGGGTACTAGGTAGATATGTGAATATGGGATCTATGAACGATGAACATTGGTCATAAGTAATTTTCCTCTTCTGTTCCTCACCTTCCCTGAAAATG